ACAATTTTATTTTTTAAGACTAAAAAATTCTATTGGAATTGTTTAAATTGGACGATGACTGTGATTTAATAAATTATGAACTATTTTTAAATTTTCAAATAAAATAAATTTCATTTTTCTTATTTTCAAAATTCATTTTTCATCCGAATAATAATTTTTCTAATTTTTAAATTTGTTTCAAATTAATTTATGATATTTAGTTTTAATTATTAATAAATCTAAAAATATGAATAAATTTATTTAAAGAATAATAATTAAATAAATTTTAATTAATAACTAGTTTTGTGCCCCGTGCGATGCCCGGGTTGTTTATTGAAGATAAAATTTTAATTTATGTGTCAAATTTTTAAACATATCATTGATACAAAATTAGTTAGGAATTGATGTGCTTTTATGACAATTTATTATATTTTAGCAAAAAAATTTAACAAAATTATAATTCAATTTGTACCTCTGAAATATTGGTATTTTATTGAAAATAAAACTCTAAACTAACAATTTTATCCTAAAATTATATCCAAATAGAATTTAAATTAAGTTTTTAATCGTCTATTTAAATCTATCCAACGTGGCGCGACACTTGGCGAAAAGTTAGAACGCCAAGTGTCGATGTCTCGTGACCTGGCTAAAAGTTTAGCTTTATATATTAGTTATATGATATGATAGTATCTAAAAATAATTCGAAATTCATTTTTTTTTTTGACGGGGAAATTCATTAAATTTGAACCGTTCATTTTTAAAATTTAATGACAACCATATATAAAATCATCTAGTGTCCTTTAGGTCTTTTTTCAAAAAAAAATAAAAATTAAAAAAAAAAATCATCTAGAATATGTATACGATATACATTATATAACACCATGATCTTATCACTAAGCATGCAATGGAGCCCTTAGAAACCACAAAACCCTCAAAATGGAAGAATTAGAAGATAAAGTAAAACAGCTTGGAAACTCACTCCCAAAGGAATCATGGGTGGGTGCATTCCCATTAATTCTATATCAGGAATTATGGTTACCATCTAGAGCACTTAAAGCTACTATCTTATTTCAAACCCAATTTGAGGCATACGACACCGATATCATTCTAGCTAGCCTACCTAAAACCGGTACCACTTGGTTAAAATCTCTCCTTTATACTATTGTGAATCGGAATATTTATTCCGATTTCACTAAACACCCACTTCATACCGAAAATGCTCATAAGCTTGTTCATCATTTCGAGTACACAATTTATGATAACAATAGTGATGGAACCCAACCCAATTTAGCCAAATTATCCCCACCTCGACTCTTTGCGACACATATACCTTATTTGTCACTACCAAAATCAATAAGATCCTCAAAATCTCGAATAATTTATGTATGTCGAAATCCTTTGGACACTTTTATTTCATCATGGCATTTTTACTCTCAAATAGACCTTTATAAGGGTAAGGGTTATGAGCTAGATCATAATATGATAGAGAAGCATTTTGGTATGTTTTGTGAGGGGAAATTTCCATTTGGTCCTTATGATGATCATGTACTTGGTTTTTGGAAAGAGAGCGTACAAAATCCAAATAAGGTGTTGTTCTTGGAATATGAAGGGCTAAAGGAGGATCCGAAAGCCCATGTGAAAAAGATGGCGGAGTTTGCGGGTTACCCGTTTTCGGAAGAGGAAGAAAACAAGGGTATCATAGATGATATAATAAAACTTTGTAGCCTTGAAAGTTTGAAGGAAATGGAAGTGAACAAGAAAGGTAATTATTTTGGGTATTTTGAAAACAAAAATTTGTTTAGAAAAGGGCAAGTTGGAGATTGGACTAATTATTTGAGCCCTTCATTAGTTAAGAGTTTTGATCAAAATTAAAGGCTTCTGGTTTTTCTTCCAAGTACCAGCAAGTCTTTTTTGAAGCTCCAAGGTAATTTAGAAGGTTGATGGTTTGTTTTCGGCCACTATCACTTGGTTGATTTATTGCCTTTGATATATTATTTTTTATTTTATGTTAATTTTTTTTTTGGTGTTTCACCTGGTTTCCCCTTTGGGGTAATCCGGATTCAGGGATAAGTTGTGGGTGGTTAGGTTCCATTCCCTTCCCAATTGTTATTGCGGGGGAACGAACACAGGTCATCCCTATCAAGTGTAATCTCAATCACCAATAACCTATTGGTATTTTATGTTTTTGTTGTTAAAGTTGTTTTGTTTGTTTGGCGATAATATGTAAAGGTGTCAATTTGGATGATCAAATCGGGAATAATTAGGTCATGTCGGTACGGCCGGGTCAAATTAAATTTTAAAATTTAGACCTACTAATAAATTATTGTGTCCATATAAGTCGAAATCTCATATATTTTTTGAATCAGCTTTGGATCGGATCGGGTCGGATTAGCGTCGTTCTGACATCTCTATTGATAACTAGTTTGCAATCCAAGAGATAAACTTGTACTCAGTATTGTTTTATTACTTAATAATGTGTGTACACATTATACATGTTGGATAGACGGGTTCACCTTCGTATTTTTACTTGTACAATTATTGTATGTAGTTTGGCTTGTCTTGTACTCCGTATCAAATATCAATTTCAACTTCGTATTTTTTTTTTTTTGTGTTTTATTAACATATTGTACAAATTATTTTGACCATATATTTAATAATCAAAATGGTTTATTTAAAACTATACATTGAGTTTAATCATAGTTTGTACAACCTATAAGTTAATAACATTTGTTTTGTTATATATTAGTAAAAAGAAATCATCAAAAATTCAAAACAAGTCAAAGCTAATTTATAATAATGAAAAAGAAAAAAGTTTGCAACTTATATATGGAAACATATACTACCTCTGTTAATTTTTATGTACAACTTTAAAATATTTTATATCTCACAAATAATACCCCAAAGTTGTACATAAAAATTAACAAAGATAGTATATAATATTATCTTAGTTAATATAAGTTTCGACCCCTTTAGATTTTAATTTATGGCTTCGCCCCTGAATATGTACGAAGAACGAGAGTAGACGATCATTATAAACTTATTACAGTATATGTTATTAAAAAACATATTTTTTTTTATGGCATGACACGTGCCCTGCTAGATCCTAATGTCCTATATATACTACCTTCGCTGCCAGTTGCATTCACATTTCAAGTCCTATATATGGACTCATATAAGGGGGCGTTATAAAGTATATAAACTATTTATGAACTTTTAAGCCACTATGAGATTAAACGTTTGATTGAATTGGTCATCTAAGGCTTGTCTAATCATCACTATTCATAGTATTCAATATCTATCTATTAGTAGAATTCAACGAGTAACCCAAAATAAAGTAATGGTCTACTAAGAAGATCAATCACATGGCGTATTGTGGATTTTATACTGTGGTATGGTATTAGACTTTTAGTACGTTAGTATCGCACTATGTGAGAATAGCGCAATTTTAGTTTCATAAAATTTTTCCTATAAAAGTGTATTCCTTATTCAATTTTTGCTCCTAAACAAAATTTTTCCCCAAATTACACAAAATTAAGCTTGCTTCTAATTGCAAAAATTGAATAAGGAATACACTTTTATAGGAAAAATCGGGGGAAGAAAACAAATAAAAGCATAAACTAGCCGTTATGTGGGCCCCACAAGCTAAAAAAACCACCGGATTTTCAAATTGGGTGGGAATCTGAGCAAAAAATTAATTTAATGAGTAGTATTTTAAAATAAAATTTTTTTTGGGTGGTTAGTTAGAAATTCAACACATTTTTGGGTGGTTTTTTAAAAATTATCCTTATTATTATTATTTTTTTTTTGAGGGAAGGAAAAAGCAAATTCGTAAAAGCCAATGATCTATTTGCTGGTATAATAACAAGAAATTTCGTCATAAAATTGAATAATTTTTTTTTTTTTTTCAGAAATTTCTCAACACGACTATAAATGTTCATGAACTCGTTACGAAGTTACCGTCTCCTCAATTCTTTGCCACTCATATGCCTTTTTTGTCATTACCAATAATGTAAAGTCGAAATGCAATGGATGCATTTGTATCATCATGACATTTTTACCTTCAGTTTACGGTAAAATTTGGATTTTTTTTTATCATGTGCTGACAAATTGACAATTATTCATGTTGCTTGCGGGTTGTAAACTATCATTTTCAAAAACTTTTGTTATTTTCGTATTTACTTAAATTACAATGATATAAGTGATCAAAGAATTCTAGGGTGACTTTTAATTAATCTTTGGGGTATCTTTATAACTTTTTTTTATTTTATTTATTTTAATAAAATTGGGTAACTTTTTACATCGTAGTGTAGTATAATTTAAACATGTACTTCGTATAAGTCATGAAGTTAAAGTTTTAAGGTGATATGTAATTACATTCATCAAATTCATGCAATTATACCGAGTATATAATTTTGTCCATATTCAAATAGAATAATTTGATAAAATATACCGTAGCAAAATTTAGGTACATATTAGTTAAATCAAAATATTGTGTTTGGAGAGATGGCGAATTATAAAAATTTCCAATTTTTTTAATCACCAATTTGTGAACACTTTTAATTCCCAATTAGAGACAAAGATGCCGTCAAAAAAAAAAAAAATAATAATAAAAATAAATAGAGACAAAGATAACGTAAGATGATTTTTGAAAGTTTTGTGGACAAAAATTTTCCATGTAAAGAGTGAAGATCATGTGCGGTATGCGGGCTATTCTTTTTGTTTGCCCCATCTGATTTATCGGAGCTTAGTTTTAACTACGTAGTATATTCAAATTCGACTCGAATTGCACAATTAACTTATGGTGGGTGAGTCACTGAGTCTCCCAATACGAGATTTCTACATTATGTGAGGTTGGAACTTGAGACCTCTTTTAAGTGACATCAAACTGGTTATCACTTGAGCCAACTCTTGTTTCTTAACAATTATGATCATAATCCAACAAAAAGAAGTTGTATAAAATAAAAAGCAATTTAATTTATTTCTAACTAGAAGTACAATTTAATGAGAATCATACAAAACTATCAAAAATTTTGTTGATAGTACTTGAAAGAAAATCCTGACTTCTTGAGTTTCTCTTGTAAGTCATGAAGAAGTTCCTTAACAATTGAAGGATTTAGATAATTAATCCAATCCCCAACCTCACCTTTCCTAAATAAAGCATTATTTTCCACAAAATCATAAAATTTACCACTTTTATTCACTTCCTTTTCCTTTAAGCTATCAAGACTACAAAGCTTGACTATCTCTTCTACAATGTTTCCTTTCTCTTCCACTTTTGAAAACGGGCAACCCATAAACTCCGCTAGCCTCTTTACTTGATCATATGGATCCGTCTTCAACCCTTCATATTCCAAGAACAACACCTTGTTCGAGTTTCGTGTATGCTCGTTCCAATACCCTAATATGTGATCCTCATATGAACCAAATGGAAAATCCCCCTTACAAAAATCTTCAAAATATTTCATTATCATATCCGGTGTAATGATTTCATCTCTCTCACATCTTAGATTAAAATGCCATAATGATATGAACGTGTCCAAAGGGTTTCGACAAACATAAACAATCTTACATTTAGAGGTCTTGATAGAACCCGGTAGAGACGGATATGGTATGTCGGTAGCCAAGAGTCGAGGCGAGGGTAGTTGGGTTAGATCAAGTTGACATCCCTTGATTTTTGAATAGAGTTTGTACTTGAATTGGAGAACGAGTTCATGAGGATTTTGAGTATGAAGTGGGTGTTTAGATAAATCGGGAAACTTATTCCGATTAACGACGGAAAAAATAAGAGATTTTAGCCAAGTAGTGCCACTTTTAGGAAGGCTGGCTAGGATAATATCCGAATCATGTGCTTGAAAGTGTGTTTGGAATGAAATTGTGGGTTCAAGAACAGGGCACCAAAATCCTTGGTATAGATAAGTAGGATATGAACCAAGCCACAATATTTTAGGAAGGGTGAGTTGTAGTTGTTTTAGTTTGCATTCTTCTATATCTTCTAAAGAGTTTGGTTTAGTGCTAGTTGACATAAGTATACAAATTAAGCTTATATTTGTATAGACGTTTGTTTTAGAGGTAAAAAAAGAAAGATTACAACTCTTGCAAGGAGCTAGTCTTTTATATAGGGAATATATATAAATATAGAGATTCTCTTTTTAATTCATATTTTTAATAAGCTAAAAAGAAAGAAATAATTATTGATAATCTTAGGTGGGTGGGAAGAGGGGAAAAAATTATTATTTGGTGTTGAAAAAGTATATTATGATAATAAATAAAATTGCAAAAGTAATTCAAACAAATTATTGTTGTAAACATAGTATGCAACACACTCTTTCATCCGACAAAAAAATAGGGGTAAATTAATTGTCGCCACATATTAACTTTTATACCAATATGTCGCCATATGATAGCTTTTATACCAATATGTCGCCACATGATAACTTTTATACCAATATGTTTTCGACAATAACTTATATACCAATCTGTCACAAGAGTTTTAACTTATATACCAATCTGATCAATTAGCCATTTTTTAGATACATCACTAGAAAGTTTGGAACTCAAGACTAGTAATATAATACTTTTGTGTAAAATTCATCGTAATTGAATATAATTGTCAATTATCAAAACATGAGATGACATCGATAGACAGAAAAAGAAAGATTGACAATAACAAAGTTAGTTATTAGTTATTGCTTTTAAAAAAGGAACCATACTTGCTTGGAGGAAGTGGAAATGGAGGAATGTTATGCATTTGGAACTACATAACATTGATTAAAATTTTGTAAAAATACATGGTATGGAGAGAAAAGAGGAGAGAGATAGGAAGAGAGAGGTCTATAGGTAGACCCCACCTATTTTTGGTCGGATTGTATCACGTGATGGGGGACCACATGCTGATTGTTCCACTAATATATAGTATCATTGGATTCTCAGTGGTACTATTTATGTATAAATTTAGTACAACTGAATGCATATATAATACCATTATGTGCATATATAGGATCACTGTATATTCAGTGGTACCATTTGATCATCCAATGATACCAGAATATATATGCATTCGTTTGTACATATGTATAATTACATGAATACTCCTTTTTATGCATTTCTACATGCCTAACATTCCTTCCTTTAAAATTCCTCTACTTGCTTGATAATTATGTGAATGTGACACATACTTTTCATGCCACTCTCACACTTGTCAACACATGCTTTTAACGCTTATAACTTTAATTATCAATATTGTAAAATTATAAAAAGTGAATGTTAATAAAATATAGATATAGACGATTCAAATAAGATCCTACATGATTATATTTTATCGTATATATAAATCACAAAAGCGAGTCAAAATGTTGTATGTGAATAGTGTAAAGTTAAAAGGTGTTAACTAAAAAAACGTAGGAAATATTACAGCGAATGAAACAATGGGAGGCCTAAATCTGAAGGCCAGCATCTTCAATCGTGGAAGCATTGCAGAATGCAGACCATTTATTTAGGATTTTCGTACTTTTTATTGTAAGAAGCCAACTACCACAATTAATTAATTTAATTTCATTATGAAATTTAATGTTTGAGTAAGCCCGTATCTGGGGCAGGGCAGGCGGGGTGGTCGCCCGGGGCCCCAGAATGGGAAGCCCAACTTTTGTTAAAACTAGTTTAGATCCCGTGCCACGCACGGTAATTGTATTTTTAAAAAATAATACTTGTATCAACTTTTAAATATAACTGATTATTTTACAAAAAAAATTTAAAATCTAAAAAAAATTATTAAAGGTACACACTACTTTGATGTGAATTCTAATTAATAGATGAACAACTGTTTTTATCACGGAAAAAATATGAATATTCCCTTGAAGTAAATTAAAATATGTCCCAAATTACAAATTATGATAATATTTTCTACTATAATAATAAATGTACACACTACTATGTACGGAGTATTATATTTATAAAGGATCTTCGTGAGTAAAAAAAAAATACAGTATATAAAAAATCTTGCAAATAAATGTCAAAATAAACTTAATAAGAGTCTGTTTTCATTGATTGAAATCAGCTGAACTGAACTGAACTGAATTGAATTGAAGTGAAATGAATATTAAGAGAAGGAAATTAAGAGCTGAACTAAACTGAACTGAACTAAACTAAACTAAATTTCAACGTATGAGAACAGGCCCTTAAGTTTACATATAAGGACGTGTTTGGCGTCTTTTTTTGTTTTTAGTTTTATGTATTTTTGAAAACCAGAAACCAAAAACAAGAAACAAGAAAAAGATGTTTTCACTTTTTTGTTGTCAGTTTTCAAAATTATCATGATTTTAATAAGTTTTACTAATTTTTAATTCATTATATGACATATATTATATGATTTTAAAAAACAAAAACCCAAAAAACAGAAAACCACAATGATGCCAAACGAACTCTAATTTTTTTGTTTTTATTTTATTTTTTTTATTATAAAGAGGACCCTGATCATATTTCAACCCTTATGATTTTTTTAGTCTAATATTTACGGGTCAAACACTAAGGAGGTAAGAGCCTTATCAAGTGAGTCAACACTTTATTCGTAATAAATTTATACATAACTAGGTTAGAACCCGTGCGATGCATGGTTTATATAAAACCTATTTTTAATTTGCACATTTTAAAAATAAATCGCTATTATACAATATACATACATGATGAATATAAAGAATTATGTACATTTTGTAATTTAAAATCTTTTATTTTCATCAAAATTTTGATATTGTATCTATTCAACGCCGTTTAAGTCATAGTTCAATATAGGAGGTCATTTATTACTGTGCTATTTAAAATTGTTTTAGTTTCCTACGATACATTGATAGGTTTTTGTTGTAAGGTAGAAACTTCTAATATTTAAATTTCATATATGTTAAATATGATAGCTCTAAAAAAAATTTAAAAAAAAATTAAAAAAAAAAAAAATTGACATCATCATTGCATTTAGGCATGGAATTTTTTTATTAAAAGAGCAACATGTGGACAGTGATGATGTCAGCATCTTCTATTTTAGTAATAGTTAATAGATTTCGTATATTACCTTATACATAGTATATATTTGTTTATTATAAAAAATAACTGTTAAAATTTTTTAAAAAGATGTGTTAAAATATTTCATAAAATGCATATGGAATATACTTTGTATATAGTTGTCAAGTTGAAAGTTAAATATTATAGGATATAATAATCATAAAGATTACAAATTCTTAAATGGACCTGGTTCACATTAATTTATTGTGGACCACTAACATTTGAAAAACTATGTTTGTTTTATTACTTAAAAAAAAAGTCACTATAATTGAGAAAAGGTCTCTATGTTGAAATAAAAGTCATTTTGGTAATATATAGACTATAAGAGGTTAATTTTTTTAACGAAATATTTTATATACTGGTTAATATGAATAATAAAGGTCAATATGTTAACATTAGGGTCATAACGTTGTATTTTAAGTTCACAATAATATTAAACGTTATATTAGTTTTAAAAAGTTACTATGTTAAAATTAAGGTTACTATGTCAAAACTAAGGGTCACTATATTCAATATAATATTAGTTGCGTGTGTATAAATATCGGGTCCACAATAACATTATTGTGGACCAGGTCCACGCAAGTCTTTCTGCATAAAGATTTGTGAGAAAAAAAAAGAAAAGTAAAAATGGCGGAAATATTTTTAATAAAAACATGACAAGTGTCATGTTGGATTCGCCTTTAGTATTATGTTATTGATTGGTGAGTTCTGTAATTAAAGAACACAAGTCAAACCCATTACTAGTATATTTCTTCCACTCCTCCTTATAATCTTGTGTTCTCGTACTCGGTATAATTGAAAATAAAAGATTTTCATTTCCCAAAATTGACTCCAAAAATTTATATTGTTTCCTTTATTAACTTAAATTCCTTAATAACCTCATCAAAATTTTCAATTTCCCAATCCAATGAGGAAATCCAATAAGTTGAGCAGTCAATGAGGAAAACTTTCCATTAAAAACTTTACTCGCAAGGAATTCATCACACCCTTGAAGGTTCAATTTATTTGTTCCTAATTTAATTTGCAGGGGTTTATGTCAAAATTTTGATGCAATTATTGATGTTTTTGATGTATTTGTCATATAAAATTTTTGTGTGGCAATTTTTGCGCCAAAAATTGGTGGGTTATGTGTTTTAAAGATAAATAATTATTGGTGTGGATGTTGAATGTTGTGATATTAATTGGCTTAATTCATGTAAAATCAACTTTATACAGTATATTTTTTGAACAATAAAATCAAACTTTATATTGACTAATTCGTGTATGTTTAGAAGACAATTGAATACACTATGGTGGAAGTGGTTTTTTTTTTCTTTATTTTTTTGGGTTTTTCTACATAGTACCCTCTAATTATCGCATTTTCTATGTTGTGCCCTTCTTAATCCAAACTTCTATACGGTGCCCACAAATTTTATGTATTGTTTAATATTTGCCCTTTATAAGCGGTTTTGTTGATGGTAATTAACTAGTAGTTAAGTTAACCACCCACCTTAGTTAATTGCTACTTAATTTAAAGGACATAATACAAAATAAAACCTCATTCTGTTCAAACCCCTCAAATTCCCTCTCTCGCGCACCCTATTTGATTGAAAACGGCTATATCATTGAATTCCCAATTGTTACAAACCCTAAGATTTTTACTCGGAAATTCGAAGCTAATAAGGATCGATTAATATATACACATATCACTTCATCAAAAATGAGAGGCAAATAATACAAACATAACTACTGTGTTTTTGGATTGCTACTTTCATGTTTTACAAATTTTTTTGGATTACATTTGAGTCGACATGGGAGAATGACGATACGGTGAATATGGGCCTGAATTTGAGGGGTTTACGGGGGGAAATTTTCTGGGTTTTAACGGGGAAGGTTGCAGGTTAGAAATTGGTTGAGGTTGTTTGCTAATTCATTGTTGCAGAATTCAGATATTAATTAGTGATGAGTTCTTTTTATCAATGTTTATTTTGGAGAA